ATATATACACGAAAGAGTTAGCTTCCCAGCACTCTGGGAGGCCGAGGAGGGAGGATCGCTCGAGGTCAGAAATTCGAGGCCAGCCTGAGCAAGAGCGAGACCCCGTCTCTACTAAAATAAATAGAAAAACATTAATTGGACAACTACAAAAATATAGAAAAAACGAGCCGGGCGTGGTGGCGCATGCCTGTTGTCCCAGCTACTCGGGAGGGAGGCCAAGGCCGGAGGCTCACTTGAGCCTCAACCCTGGGCGCTCGGGCTTTCCTAGCCCCGAGCCTGGGCAGGCTCCCTTTCTCTCTCTCTTAACTGGGGAGGACCAAGCGGGTCATTGGGGGGGGGGGAAGGTCGTCCGTAGCCTCAGTTTACCCTCCCTGCAGAACGGGCCTCCTCCCGTCCCCCGCGCGCCCCGGGGCGCGGCCCGAGGGACTCACGGGCGTCCTCCCTTTTCGTCCCCAGCCCCCGAGAACAACCCCGGGGTCGTCTCGAAGGTGGTGGACGTCTGCCTCAGGAAGGAAGGGGACAGCTTCGGCTTCGTGGTCCGAGGTCGGTTTCAGGACTCGCCCGTGGGAGTCAGGGAGGCTCGAAAAGGGAGGCTGAAAAGGGAGGCTGAAAAGGGAAGCTGAAAAGGGAAGCTAAAAAGGAGGCTGAAAAGGGAGGTCGAAAAGGGAGGCTGAAAAGGGGGGCTAGAAAGGGAGGCTCAAATGGAGGCTAGAAAGGGAGGCTAGAAAGGGAGGCTGAAAAGAGAAGCTAAAAAAGGGAAGCTAGAAAGGGAGGCTGAAAAGGGAGGCTAAAAAGGGGGGCTAGAAAGGGATGCTGAAAAGAGAGGCTAAAAAAGGGAGGCTGAAAAGGGAGGCTAGAAAGGGAGTCTAAAAAGGGAGGCTAGAAAGGAGGCTAAAAGGGGAGGCTATATAGGGAGGCTAAAAAGGAAGGCTCAAAACAGAGGCTAGAAAGGGAGGCTAAAAAGGGGGCTAGAAATGGAGTCTAGAAAGGAAGGCTAGAAAGGGAGGCTGAAAATGGGAGGATAAAGGGGAGCTAAAAAGGGAGGCTAGAAAGGGAGGCTCAAAAGAGAGGCTAGAAAGGGAGGCTGAAAAGGGAGGCTAAAAAGGGAGACTGAAAAAGGAGGCTAAAAAGGGAGGCTAGAAAAGGAGGCTAAAAAGGGAGTCTAGAAAGGGAGGCTCAAAAGGGAGGCTGAAAAGGGAGGCTAGAAAGGAGGCTGAAAAGGGAGGCTAGAATGGAGGCTAAAAGGGGGGGCTAAAAAGGGAGGCTAAAAAGGGGGCTAAAAAGGGAGGCTAGAAAGGGAAGCTAAAAAGGGAGGCTAAAAGGGAGGCTCAAAAGGGAGGCTAAAAAAGGGAGGCCAGAAAAGGAGGCTAGAAAGGGAGGCTAAAAGGGAGGCCAGAAAGGGAGGCTAAAAAAGGAGGCTAAAAAGGGAGGCTAAAAAAGGGAGGCCAGAAAGGGAGGCTAAAAGGGAGGCTGCCGCCGGGGACCGGGTGGGGACGGGGTGAGGCTGATTCCCGCCTCCCGCTGGACTCCGCGCAGGGGGAGCCCACGAGGACGAGCACAAGTCGCGCCCACTCGTCGTGACCCACGTGCGGCCGGGCGGCCCCGCCGACAGGTGACCCCGAACCCCTGAGCCCTCAGGGAGATTCCCCCGCCCGCACCCCCAGTCTCGGAGGCCGAGGCGGGAGGCTCGCTCGAGGCCGGGAGTTCGAGGCCAGCCTGAGCAAGAGCGAGACCCCGTCTATATACTAAAAAAATAGAAAGAAATTAATTGGCCAACTAAAAATATATTTAAAAAATGAGCCGGGCGTGGAGGCGCACGCCTGGAGTCCCAGCTACTCGGGAGGGAGGCCGAGGCGGGAGGCTCGCTGGAGGCCGGGAGTCGGAGGCCGCTGTGAGCGAGGCTGACGCCATGGCGCTCACTCCAGCCCGGGCGACAGAGCGAGACTCTGTCTCAAAAAGAACAATCTAAATCCGTCCTTGGCTCGGGACCCGGGACCGGCTATTTCTGGAACCTCCCGGAATAGCCTCGGCCACCTGTTTTCGGGGGTGGATGGGGGGTGAAGGGGGGGGACGCGTCTCCCCGGGAACCGAGGTGACCCCTAAGGCCAAGGTCACCCGGGTCCCTGCGCCCCGAGGCCCCAGGCTCGTGTCTCCCCAGTATACAGCAGGCTGCCGATAAATGCAGACAAGATCCATAGTTTAAGTGCCGGTATACAGTAGGCCGGCCATACATGCATGCAAAATCCGCGGTTTAAGTGCTAGTATACAGCAGGCTGCCAATATATGCATGCAAAAATCCCAGTTTAAGTGTGGTATACAGCAGGCTGCGAATACATGCAGACAAGATCCATAGTTTAAATGCCAGTATACAGCAGGCTGCCAATACATGCACGCAAAGTCGGTGGTTTAAGTGCCGGTATACAGCAGGCTGCCAATAAATGAAAACAAGATTCACAGTCTAAGTGCCAGTATACAGCAGGCTGCCAATGCATGCATGCAAAAATCCGTGGTTTAATTGCCGGCATACAGCAGGCTGCCCATAAATGCAAACAAAATTCACAGCTTAAGTGCCGGTATACAGCAGGCTGCCAATGCATGCATGCAAAATCACAGCAGGTAGATTCACAGTCTAAGTGCCGGTATACAGCAGGCTGCCAATGCATGCACGCTAAAACCCGCGGTTTAAGTGCCGGTATACAGCAGGCTGCCAATGCATGCATGCAAAATTCGCGGTTTAAGTGCCGGTATACAGCAGGCCACCCATAAATGCAAACAAGATTCACAGTCTAAGTGCCGGTATACAGCAGGCTGCCAATATATGCATGCAAAATCAGAGCAGTAATAAGTGCCGGTATACAGCAGGCCGCCGATAAATGCAGAGAAGATTCACAGCTTAAGTGCCGGTATACAGCAGGCCGCCCATAAATGCAAACAAGATTCACCGTCTAAGTGCCAGTATACAGCAGGCTGCCAATACATGCACGCAAAAATCCACGGTTTAAGTGCCGGTATACAGCAGGCCGCCAATACATGCACGCAAAAATCTGCGGTTTAAGTGCCGGTATACAGCAGGCCGCCCATAAATGCAAACAAGATTCACAGCTTAAGTGCCGGTATACAGCAGGCTGCCAATGCATGCACGCAGAGCCCGCAGCCGGACCCCGGGACCCCAGCGCTGTGTGGCGTCCGCGGAGCCGGCGC